AAGGAAGCGGACGGTGGGGGGTTGGGGTTTTCGAGGGAAGGGGGAGAAGGAGTTGGAGTAGTCGGAGTGGGGGTCGAGCTCGAGGAAGTCTTTGAGGAGGAGGGGTTTTTGGGTCTGGCTCATTGTTGAAGACGACTGAGGATCTTGATGGAGATTATTGTTGAGCTTTTTATTTTATTTGAGAGAAGGGGGGAGAGAGAGAGAGAGAGAGAGAGAGAGTGGGGAGAGTTTTTGGTAATGAGAGAAAGAGGATGGATGCTTCTTTGAATTTGTACATGCGGTTCTTAATGCAAAAGAGGGGGTGGGAATCTTTTTGCTTTTTTGTTTTCTTATATTTGGGTGATATTTTTTGATTTTACGTGGGCTTATAAAGATTTTGACGGGCATGCTGGGATGGAGACTAGTTTGACTCCTTACCAAAGCAAGTTGTCCCAACTCGAACCAAAATTATATCTGAGACATTAATGGTCATAATTAGATCAACTCATTTATTTATTTAAAAATTAAATTAATGAATTAGAAATGGACGAGAAAGGCTTGATTTGGCTAAATTAGCTTGATTAAGTTTAAAAATCATATTTTATGTTTTTAATATAACTTTTTTTTTGTTTAATTTGTAATCATGTCACATGTGTATGGAAAATATCCCTAACATAGTAATAATAATGTAGCAATGTTTTTTTAAATTTATTTTGTTGATATTTGATCTAATAAAGTGACTCTCAAATTATATGAATTGATATAGATCAATCAACTATTATCACCCAAGTACTCTGAACGAGAATCTAACAAACACGGATACATCCCATTTCTCTTCAAGATCAATCTAAAAACCGTGTAATATCCTATCGACGAATCTTTCATTGATTGTACGTGACCCCACTACTACAAAAGCTCCTTATAGTAACAGTTAATTGATTAAACCGTTGCTATTAAAGCTTATTGATACGGTTATTGTAAAATCAGATTTTTGCTTTCTATTTGAAACAGCTGCAAACTATATCTCAATTAAATTAAAAGAAAAATAGATATTTCTATTAAAATGGGTGGGAAACTAAATTTGTGGGAACAAATTTAACCGGGGAAACAATTTAGAAAGTGGTGATTTCTCTCTCTTATAACCTCTGCTCTCCTTCAAATTTCGTCTAGGTTGGCGCTCCCAAAATTTTCGTATCCCCACCACTCAAAATATTTCCGCCTTTCTTTCCCCCTCATCTTTCAAACCCTTTAATTTTTCAATCCTCTCCCAAGCTTTTCAAAACCTAAGTCCAACCCTCCACCCTTCCTCTGGCCTTAACGCCCCCACCGCACCACACCACACCACCGTCGTCCTCCAGTCCCTCCTTCGCCAAACCCTAGCTTCTCTCTCCTCTCACCAATTCGCCCCCAAAACCCTAGCTTCTCTCTCTAATGTGATAATCCCTCGATCTTAGATCTAACTTTTCCACTGGTGCAACGTAAGCGATGATGTACTGCGGTGACGGCGGGGTCCACCGACGCCGATGGGTCCTAGGATGGCGCCCAGAAGATCCCATCGGCGTCGTCGATGCCTTGGGTTCGGAACCTCCGTAGGTTCATCGGATCCGACAATGACCTTGGATCAATAACCCTAATGGGTCAGTACCCACTTTCCTCCTCTATTTCTTAGAAATTTGCACTCCTGATTCGTTTCGAACCCGTGTACCAAATACTTTCGTTCGTCGCATCAGTTTTCAACAACTTATCTATTCCCTCATCATCGACCCCTGACCCAAACAGAGTTTTAGGAATCGACACAGTCCCTGCACTTGCTCTCCCAAAAGCAGACATAGCAATAGCTGGTTCTTTCCCTTTTTAATTCTGAAAATGCGCCAATCGTTTTGGAAACACAAACATATAACCAGGCTTCAATGTTTGGGTATACAAATTATTTGCAGTGTCCATAAAACCCACATCCAACATTCCAGTAATAAAAAATAGTAGCTCAGCAGACCTCTGTAAAGATAACACCGATAGTGCTTAGCACTAGCCCAAGACCGTAATACCCAAGAAACCCGAAAGAAACCAAGAGAATAAACCTCTAAGTATGAAGAAGAATATGAAGAACACTTGAAAGACTTTTAGAGAAATGTAGAGAACTTATGAAGAGGAAGACTCTTTATTTGAACTTGCTTTATTCACTTGTTCAACTTTTTCTTCTTACTTACAAATGAGAGAGGTGAGGAGGTATTTATAGCCTCCCAAAGATATGTTACAAAGAATCTAGATTCTTCTAATATCACCTCCATAGTTCCTAGATATTTTTCTAATCTCTAGAAATTTCTACATAATATCTAAATATTTTTATCACAAATTATCTAGATGTTTTTATACTATTATCTAGATATTTAGCTTAAAGATTTCTCTAGAACACTTTAAGGAGGTGATCAACCTTCTAGAGTGTTTCTAGAAAACCTCTAGAATTTGGACCTAATTTTGGGTTTGGTCAAACTTAGAATAATTCCATCATAAACCCAAAATTAAGCTTGATCCAAAATCAAGTTTAATTTCAATACTCCCCCTTAAACTTGATTTTGTCAACCATCCCGAGCTTCGAGCGAAGTAACTCAAATTGGCCCTTTGGTAGTGACTTGGTGAAGATATCTGCAACGTTGTCTTCGCTTCGAGCCTCCAAAGCTTCAATTGTTTCATCAAGCACCTTCTCCCGTATGAAATGATATTCTAACTCGATATGCTTCGTCCTTGCATGAAACACCGGATTATTAGCCAACTTGATAGCACTTTGATTATCTCCATAAATTGTAACCGGCTTATTGATTGGCTCCAACAAATCTTCAAGGAGTCTTCGAAGCCATATACACTCTTGAGCTGCGAGTGTTGAAGCTTTATACTCCGCTTCAGTGGTAGACAATAACACCATTGCTTGCTTCTTGCTGCACCACGAAACACTTGTGTCTCCACATAAGAACACATACCCTGAAGTTGATTTTCGATCATCTAGATCTCCACCAAAGTCAGCATCCGTGAAACCATGAAGATAAACCTTGGCATTGTACTTGTACATCAGACCCATGCCAAGAGTTGTCTTTACATACTTCAAAATCTTCTTTGCCGCTTCTAGATGTGGCTTCCTTGGTTCTTGCATAAACCGACTTACGAGACCCACCGCGAAGGCAAGGTCAGGTCTTGTAATGGTTAAGTATAGAAGACTTCCTACAAGAGAGCGATAAGGTCGAGGATCAGGTAGCAAGGACCCTTCATCGCGTTTAAGCTTTATGTTCACGTCCATCGGAGTAGTACGTGTCTTCCCTTCGTGTACTCCGAACCTTTCAACAATCCTTCTTGCGTAGCTTTGTTGGCCGACAAATATTCCATCATTTACCCTTTCGACCTCCAAACCAAGAAAATTGTTCAACTCACCCAACTTCTTCATCTCAAACCTCACCGACATATCCTCTTGTAGACGAGCAATTTTAGCATCATCATTCCCGGTGATGATCATATCATCCATATAAAGAAGAACCACCACGTGGACTTATCCATTTTTCTTGAAGAATAGACTCAGATCAGAATTTGATGGCACATACCCGCAAAACTGAAGGAATTGAGCAAGCTTTCCATACCAAGCTCTAGGAGCTTGTTTTAACCCGTACAAAGCCTTTTTAAGCTTGCAGACATAATCAAGATGCTCTCGTGACTTGAAACCAAGCGGTTGCTCCATGAAGATTTCCTTATCAAGCTCTCCGTATAGAAAAGCATTCTTCACATCTAGTTGCCATAACTTCCAACCAAAGCTTGCGGCTAAAGATAAAAGTGAGCGTACCGTAGTCATCTTTGCCACTGGACTGAAAGTTTCATCATAATCTTCTCCATATTTTTGAGAGAACCCTCGAGCAACCAACCTTGCCTTAAATCTGTCAATGCTCCCATCTATTTTTCACTTAATTCGGTACACCTATTTACAAGAAACGAGTTGGACATCCTTGGGTTTTGGAACCAAATCCCAAGTTTCGTTCTTCATTGCGCCCTCCCACTCTTGAACTCCTTTTGCTTCATCATACGATGATGGCTCCTCTTTATCTAATGGAGTTGCAAAGTAGCATGAGTAAGTAGTGACAAACCTTTCATCTCTGAACCGAGCAGGCTTAACAATGTTCCTTTTTGGCCGTTGATTAGCCATGGAACTACGATCTTCTTCCTCATCTTCCTCTTGATCAGTGCTCCCCCTTTCACCTTGCGTCTCTTCTTCAAGACTTCCGCTTTCACTTGGCATTTGAACAACTGGTTCATCGATCTTGGAGGAACCCCCACCTTCTTGTTCGACCAAGACTTGAGGTGGCCCATAAAATGAGGAAACTTCATCAAAGACAACATCACGAGACATGGTGTACCTGTGTGTCTCTGGATCTATACTCCTCCAGCCCTTCCTTTGTTCATCATAGCTGACAAAGATGCATTTCTTCGCCTTTTCCTCCAACTTGGTTCTTTGAGAGTCAAACACGTAGACGTAGCAGATTGATCCAAATATCCTGAGATGTTTCACCGTTGGCTTCTTCCCATGAACCATCTCATAAGGAGACTTCATATTGTTCGGACTAAGTGGCATCCGGTTGATGACATACGCTGCACATCTCATGCCTTCCGCCCATAAGGCCTTAGGCAAATTTTTGTCATGTAACCAGCTTCTACATGTCTTGCTTAGATGTCTTATCTTCCTTTCTGCTACTCCATTTTGCTGAGGTGTATACGGACATGTAAATTCTCTCTTGATACCATGTTTTTGGCAAAAAGAGAGAAACTCCTTTGACATGAACTCCCCTCCATTATCCGTCCTTAAAGTCTTGATCTTCTGACCTAATTCTCCCTCCACGGTAACCTTGAATTCTTGAAACTTGGAGAATACTTCTGATTTTTCCTTCACAAAGTATACCCAAGTGTATCGTGAGAAGTCATCAACAAACAGTAACATGTACCGAAACCCAGAATAGAAG